AAAAAATTTCCACAAAAGCTAAAACTTCATTAAAGGAGCAAAACAATTTGTCCTTTTAGTGATTTTGGACCTTTACGTAAAAACGTAAACTTTTGGGTCAAAGTACAAATACACAAAAGTATCAAAACTTTATGTAATTGCATGAAAGCCCCACAAAGACCCTAATTGAGTAGGGTGGCCACTTTGAAACAAAGTGTATAAAAATTTCAAAGTTTTTTGTAAGTGGGTGTGTGTAATGGAATAAATCATTACACACCAACCCACTAAAATTTCTTTAATTTTTCAAAATAAATATCTAATATATTTAAACATAAGAAATATTTCAAAACAAAAACTTTATGAAATAAATCAAAACTTTGAATCAAAACACCAAACCTTTTGTTCTTGGCAAGAACATATCAAGAACAATGAAGAACATCCATGAAAACCCATAAGAGCTCCATGAACATTCTTCACCCAAAAACATACCAAAACCACTCAAACTTAAGGGAAATAACATACAACCATACTAGGGTACATAGGGGTTCCAAAAGTCACTTTAAAACACTTTTAACAAGTCAAACAAGAACCCAAAAATCCACCCTTTGGATTTGGCCGAATTTCCCCAAAAAACATGGCACCAAATTTTAGCTCCAAAATTCATGCTCATATGAACTACATCTACAACATTTGAGATGGCAAATTTTCTAACAAAATTTACATTCAAAGAAGCAAGAATAAAGCTTGTAACAATTACAACATTCAAATCACAAACTATGAACTACAAAACCCAAAAGGATTCACCAACTACTAGACTTAGGCTCTTGATACCACTTGAAGGAAGATTTGTGAAAAACATGTTCATTTAAGCAACATCAATAGCATGCAATTAACAATTAAAGGCGGAATCATGCTTGTATGCACTTAAAAACAAAACATTTACCCATGAAATTCAAAGCCTAGTAGATAGGTGAACCAAGACTCAACTCAAAACAAAGTGAGTTGAGAAATCAATACCTTTGTAGATTCCTCTTTGCATAAGCAAAGGCTAATCACCCAAAGAGAGGGCCTTCATTCCTTGCATCTTAGATCCATGGATTTGGATGGATGAAAAGGTCTCTCCAAGTTCCCAAAATTGAGAACCTCTAATTATTCATCACCAAGGCATAATGAAGAAGAAATGAGTGACCTTGGAGGAGTTTGATTGCTAGATGATCCCTCCAAGGTGGCCTAAATTTTAGAGAGAAAGGAGAGCTTGTGTTCTCATCCTTTCCCCAAAAATTACCATATGTAAATTTTAGGCTATAAAGTCTTTTATATAGTCCCTTCAAATAAGTGACCTAATGGACCAAAAGCCCTATTCTTCTAACATGGCAAGCCTATAGGGTTTATTGGGCTTTCAAGCCCTTTGTTTATTCAAGTTGTCATACAACTTGAGTTAATGGGCTTGACATTCAAATCCCATTGGGCCTTGCGGCCCAAAACTAACCCGAGGTCTTTAACGAACTTATTCGTTTGATTAATTAACATATTAATTAATCCTAGCCTTAGATAAATAATTAAACCATTTAATTATTCTTACTCATCTCCGTTGTTTCTTCAAACTCTACCTTACTCGGTGAACGATCCATTAGGTTCCTTTTAGCGAGGCAGTGGGCGATTAAAACTCTTTCTAATCGATTGTGAATTGAAACTTACTTTCAATTCTCTCGTTAGTGATAATACACTTTTAGGGCTTCCACAAACCATGGTTGACACCTAGCAGCATGTCATGGTTACCCAAGCTAATCAGAAGAGGTGGAGAACCTATTCAGTTTTAGGATTACAAATGCAATACGGTCTTTTTCTAATACAATACTCTTGACCACATTGTTTGGTTTGATAGTTTATTCATGTCTACTATCCAATGTGAGTCTTGTGCTTATATGATTACCTTGAATGTGATTTGGAACACATTCCTAAATCTCATTCATACTTTGGCCAAAGATTCTTAATCATATCATAGAGTATTCTCCCTCAAACAGTTTGAAGGTTAGAGATCCCTTGTTGCGCATTCACTTGCCTCCATGGCTAAGTGGCTTAACCCCAACGATGCCATGGACACCCTCCTGATGGAGTGACTTTGACATAATCAAAGATTAAGGACCTAACCACAAGACAACTGTGATGCCTCAAGTCAAAAGACTAATTTGCATTATCCCAACCATGAGTTCTCATGTGCCATGAATATGAGAACTCTTCGTTGATCGTGTTCAGTGAACTCATTCTCTATTGAGCACCTACGTACTTGTCTTGATGTCACACACACCAATGACTCGAGACTAGTCACTCTCCCTGAGAGAAGACATAGCACGTATTGATCTTAACGGACTGTCAATGCCCAATTGACAATCCTATGATCAGGAACGTTTAGGATGTGTCAACGAAAGAATGGTCTCATGAATCTAACTTCTTTAGATCGCATTCTTCCAATCACATATTCCTTGGACTTATCGTTTAAGCATATAACATTTATATGAGACGGCTCAAACAATAATGTTTGCCCTTTACATTTAAACTACATTAGTTTGAAATGTCCGTAAAGTATCATCATACATTTCCAACAGCGCCTAGGCAGATTTAAGTAAATTTCTTGTATATCTTGTAATTAAGTGCATATCATAAATATTAAGGACAATATTGTAAATTCATCTTCTAGGGATAATACTTAGAGGCTAAGAAAAACGGTTAGTTTGTTATGATTAGTTTTCTCTTAGTTAGAAAGTTGTTGTGATTTAGTTAGCCTCACAACTTATATATATACTCAGATTGTAATCTTATTCTGGTGTGAAATGAAAATATAATTTCCAAATATGGTATTATAGTAGTTTTCTCTTAGCCTCTAAGTATTATCCCTAGAAGATGAATTTACAATATTGTCCTTAATATCCCCCCTCAAATGAAACTGGAGAACTCGAAGTGGAAGTTTGTCTCGGAGGAATAGAAATCTGGTCTTGGACAAAGATTTGGTACATATATTAGCCACTTGGTCTTGTGTGCAGATGAAGTGAAGAGAGACTTGCTGTGCCAAGACTTTTTCGCGGATGTAGTGATAATCAATCTCTACATGTTTTGTCCAAGCATGAAAAACAAGATTCTTATCAAGGGACATAGCAGAGACATTGTCACACCAAAGTTGGGGAGAGCAAGGTAAACAATACCCAATATCAGTAAGCAGTTTACAAATCCAAGTGATTTCAGAGGTAGTGCTGGCAAGGGATTGATATTTTGCCTCTGTTGAGGAACGAGCAACAGTTAGTTGCTTTTTAGCACTCCAACTTATAAGTGAGGTTCCCATATAGATGCAATAACCTCCATTAGATCGCATGTCTAACAAACAACCTGCCCAATCAGCATCTAAGAAGGCCATGAAAGAGGGAGGAGATGAGGATTTACAATATTTTGGTTCGTCAGCCTCACGTGACGGCCAGCACGCCTCAAATTTTGGTTCGGGGTGTGTCAAAATCACAACAACTTTCTAACTAAGAGAAAACTAATCATAACAAACTAACAGTTTTCCTTAGCCTCTAAGTATTATCCCTAGAAGATGAATTTACAATATTGTCCTTAATAATAAAAAATTATACTTGTATGAAATTCATGGATAAAATAATAAAAGAATAGTGATATTAGTTATATATACATACATATATATATATATATATATAAAGTGAGAAAGTGAAAAATGTGAAGTTTTAAAAAATGAAGAAATTCTTCTCCCTGTTTTAGGGGTTTAAAATAGAATAATAGAGATAAAATAGTAATTTAAGATATTTTAAAAGAAGAGATATAGTATTGGAATAATGATGTAAAGAAATCAATTCAACATTATGATGTAATAGTAGAGAAAAGATTAAAGAAATCAATTCTATTATTTAATGATTAATGATATGGCATAGTGGTGAACGAACTGTAAATACAATAAAGTGGATCTCTTTCTTGCACATCTTCGTCCTCTCTCGCACATCTTCTTCCTCTCGCACATCTTCTTCTTCTTCAATCTGGGTTGTTTTCCATTTTCTCTTCCTCATCACTCACATATACTTCTTATATTTTTATCTATAAGTTCCCTTCTTCGTCGAGTCTAGTATCCAGAGAGTTGATTTGTAGATGCGAGTCTGCCTAAGACGAGAGGGCATGGAACAAAAGACCAGAGTTGCAGAGGCGCTGGCGATGGAAGAAGACCAGTATCAATCCGCCTAGACATGCCGCCTAGCACTGCAGACCGCCTAGAGTGCCTAGCGAGCGCCTAGTCGGCCGACTAGCTCCTCATCAATTTTGTAAATGATTTGCTCTAAATCGTACCGGAAAACCATCACTCAGCGCCTATGCCGCTTTTTAGAACACTAATCCCTACATCATGATGTGAACTAGATTGAATGTGTATTGCATGCTTGGTTGCTGACTCCAATAAATAATGCTACATTTGGGCTATCGAAGGACTTGTTTTTAATGTCAAAGTTTAAACACCAAAACTTTTTTATTGAATTGGATGAAATGAGAACCATAATAGTTTTTGCAAACAATGGAACCAAACCAAAACCGTTTAAAACGAAACCGAACCGAACAAAATTATTTGGTTTCATTTCGGTTTTAGCTTCAAAATCGCACCGAACCAAACCGTAAAAACTTGCAGTTTTGGTTTCACTCAAAATTGCATCAAACCGAACCACGCCCAACCCTAAAGAGTAGAGATGAAAGACTATTGCAATAATTTAAGAAAAAAAAATTTTAAAGCCCGTAATGTATGACTAAAAACTTAACACCTAATCTATTAAAATATTGAACTACATGTAAAATAAAAAGTGACAACCTAATTTATCATTTTTCTATTTTCGACCAAAAAAGAAAAGGAAGAATCCCTCCCAAAACAACCTACCCAAGTCTGGAATCACACGGCAGCATCTAAATCTAAGACCCCACCATAGAAAAAGTACGACCGGACTTACCTTTTAACGTACATTTTCACATTTTACCCTCCGTAAATCTATAAATAACACTAAAGCCCTTTCCTTTCCTTTATAAGCCTCTCTCTCTCTCTCACTCTCTCTCCCCTCTCTTTCCTCACTACGAAGTAAACCCTGTTTCTGCGAGCAAGGATCAATACGCCGATATGAGGTGTTGCTCTCAGCTCCCGTTTTATTTGAATTTACATTTACTTCTGATATTTATCTTTTGTTATTTGAGATTTCATAAGAAGCATAGGGTTTGAGTTAGGTTTTCGAATTTTATTTCTTTATTTTTTTTATTACCTTTCGATTGTTTTCTGTTTGGTTGCTGAGAAAGTGAAGGAAAATGAGTTATCTGTGAGTATGGAGACTCGAATCTGCCTAAACGGCTTGGTTTGTGAATTGGGTTCTCTAGAGGTTTAGGGTTTTAATTCGGAATGATTTGTTTTTCATTTTCCTGGAAATAACATGTTCTTTGATTTAGCTGAGTGTTTTAATGGAAATTTATTGTCTTATTTTCTATATTTTCTTTTCTCTACGATCAAACAGGGATTTAATGAGATATTGCTCGGTCTTTATTTTCCGGCTTTATTTTATCTATTCCCATTTTTGCTAAGCTTCCTGTTTCCATTTTCCTTTTCTGTTTTTTCATGATGTAGTAATTCTGCAAACTGCAACTACGTGCTCGAATAAAAACTGCTTGAGCATTTTATAATTGACAGCGTGCCAATGAAGCTCGATATTTGTACAGGAATGTTTGATTAGTGTAGGATTTTTAACAATTAGATGAATGCCAGTCTGATTAGTCTTATATAGTACTTGAGTTCTAGTTTCATAGTGTTCGATCCCTGCTGTGGCGTTTCATTTTGTTTCCTTATAACTTTCTTGGTCCTGGGATATATGTAGATTGGGTACAGCGAGTGTCCAGTGTTCTTTAACTGTTTGGGTATTTGGCATAGGTTGTGTAGTTCAAGAAATTTAACATTTAGCAATTGGCGGGTAAGATGGAATTTTGGGTCTTACCGTCCACCGTATAGCAGCCTGCCTGCCTGACATTTGTAGGCTTTACACTCTAGCATGCAATCAATGAAAGTTTCAAAGATTGGGCGATACTGATTGCAGAAATGAAAATGAAAAATATGATATGAGAAAGGTGGAAGTAATTGTGCTATAAAAAGTGGCTAGCATGATGGATAATATTTTAAGTTCGTACTTCTAAATTTTGTTTGTTCTGGAGTATATGATTTACCTCAATTGTTTTGTACTTTAATCTTTACTAATTTTCATTTGAACATGTACATTTCAGCCGACATCCTAATGTGAAATGGGCCCAGAGGTCTGATATGGTCTACATAACTATTGACTTGCCGGATGCCCAGGATGTAAAGCTTAAACTGGAGCCTGAAGGAAAGTTTTTGTTCTCTGCTACTACCGGACCAGAGAAGACACCTTACGAAGTTGACCTTGATCTCTATGACAAGATAGATGTAAATGTTAGTTTCTCACCTTAACCATCATGGGTTTATTTCATTTTACTAGGATATCGTACTGGCATCAGTTATGGGACTAACATATTCTTTTACTTGCAGGAGACCAAGACTACTGTTGGCTTGAGAAATATCTGTTACCTAGTAAAAAAAGCTGAGGATAAGTGGTGGAGCAGGTTGATAAAACAGCAGGGAAAAGCTCCTATCTTTCTGAAAGTAGATTGGGATAAATGGGTTGATGAAGATGAGGAGCCTGAAGAAGTTAAAAGTGACGAAGGCGGTGAGTGTTTCTCCAATCCTTCTTAAATCTCTTTCCGTGTTGTCATAGTTGCCTTGAGGAATTTTAACCGGACGCTTTTGGCTGTAATTTTGGTTTCCAGGTCCAGGTGGGTTTGGAAACAATATGGACTTTGGGGGACTTGGAAACAATATGGACTTTGGAGGACTCGGAAACAATATGAACTTTGGGGGACTTGGAAACAATATGAACTTTGGGGACTTTGATTTGTCTGTAAGTATTCATACCATCACCTTACTATTGATTTGTTTATACTGAACTAGAAGATAATATACCATCACCCCGACTACAGGATATATATTAAATTATTCATTAAGTAAACAATTGCTTAGTGTTCTTTTATCTCAGAAGTTGAACATGGGTGGCGATGGCTCGAATGCTGACGCACTTGGCAAGTTTGATGGTGAGTTTCACAATCTATAATCCATTCCAGTTACGTGATTTTTCTTCTGGTTGGAACTGGACTGATAACTGCAGATTAGCGTACCATTTATTAGTGACATGTAATTTAACTGTCTTGTGCTACTAGCAGAGAATGATGATAGTGACACAGAGGATGAAACTGTTGACCAACCACCATCCGCTGCTGGAGAATCTGACGCCAAACCTCTTGCGAGTGCAGAGCATGACGCAAAGGCTTCTGCCTGATGATGCAATAGATTCAGAAAGTGGGCGGGTGTTACCACAATGGTCGAAGGATGAAAGCCTTTCTGCAGCATCTTCCCTGTTTTAACATGCACCTGAATATGTGTTTATTTCCCGATACGCAACTTTGTGATTGCTTTGCTTCGCCTTCACAAAGGGGTTTTCCTTTTCGTTTTGCTTTTGGTTTTGTCACGAGGGGTAGCCTGATTTATTATCTTTCTGCTTACTGTGATTCGCGGATATTGGAATTTACCATGTATTAGAAGATATTAGCTTGTTCATTACCGGTGATGATGTATGGTTGATTTGTCCATCATTTTGTTGAGCTTGTTAATTGTTCAGCCTACAATGAGTTTGATCATATGATGAATAGCTAATCAGATCCACATGAGAATTGAGAATGACGTTTTGGGTTCAATCTGTCGCGGTTGTTTACTTAGAAGCGTTGTCCCAGCCCACTTGTAGTCCATGTCATGAAAGTCCTCTTGTGTTCTCTTGTGTATGGCGAATGATAAGGAAGAATCTGATGAAATCTGAAATTCGATACGAGTAAAGTAAAAATTACTTAACAGAGTTTGTTAATTTTCCACACTGACACAAAGGCTATAAACTCTGTGTCTTAAGCTCGGTATATGCCAACCTTGAATGTAGCATTACGAGTGCGACCCTTGTTAATCAACTCAAACACACAAGCATCCCCTACTTTAACACGATTCTCTCGCACAAATGCTTTCCAACCGTCATAGACTCTTGCATATTGTTTTCTCCTGTATACCCCGACGCGGCACTTGACAGGCCAACTTCTCCTGCTCGCTATCTCTAGGTTCATGTCGCAAATGCCTCTTGCACAGACATTTTGCTTGACAAACGGTACAGATAGTCTCTGCAAACATTACAAACAAATATAAAAACGAACCCAAAAGGGGTTATTATTTATGCTGAGAAATTATGTGATGTTGCTCCTTAAGCTGTTTCATTCCCTAATTCGTACTTTAATATGAACTGGGATTGAACAAACGTCGAGGAAGCTTACCAGCTGACTTGCTATGTATGATGGCTGCATTTTGACCACGAGAAACGGATTGCTAGATTTGAAACTCACAGCTCTCGAAAAGGCTCTATCACTTAACCTCGTAGTTTTTTCCTCATCCGTATACATGCGCCCACGGCTTCTTGTTTTTGGGCGAGGCGAATCCAAGATTTTGACAGAAACATTATCTCCATGTTCTTCATTCTTCGGCAGCTGGAATCCCCCACATAACTTGGGCACCCCATCATGGCTTGAACTGATTGGATAATCAATCTCCAACGTATTCCTTCGAAAAATGCGCACTAGGAAATGCGAAAAACCACCTTCATGGCTAAACATCAACAAGTATCCATGGTTCAGGGAGTAAAATTTTGCAAATTCTGACCAGCCCTTTTGCAACCACACCTTGCCACATCTCCTTGTCGATTCTATTCGCCAAACTCGCCCCGTTGGATCCTTGAGGAACACGGAATCTGGCAGACAATCTTCATTCTTCATTACAAACGCCGGTGGAATTTCCTGTAATTAATTCCTCCTCAAAATTAAGATGTGCATGCAGATAAACATTGTTGCCAAGAAACCGAGAGTGTGGCTTAATAATCAAGTTGAAACATAAAGTTCAAAGGCATTAATCTAATCACTTGTAACAGAAGAAAACAAATTAAAAGATATCAGGACCGGAAAATACTTCATCTGCTTTGAATGTCAATGAAGGATGGGTTGAACAAAAAAGGTTAAATCCACAAGATTTTAACAGATTAACAAGTTAATTAAACTTGAGATTTATAAAGCCATTTCCAAAAATACCAAAAACCAAACCGCCAAATGAGTCAGAGAGTCAGAGAGATTTATAACAATATTTTTGTATAAATTCTTGACATGCAGAAAGGGAAATAAGCACAAGTAAATATTTTTCAAGAAATTAATTAGCAAACAAAAGTTCATAAAAATTTAATCAAGAATTAAAGGGCCACCCAGGATTTCCTTTATCTTTCTATTTTTTTTCCATTAAAAATCCAAGCACAAGAGAGTTTAAACTTTGAAGGACATCGCATGCAAGCTGAAAGAAGAAGATGAAGGGACACAGAATGAGTGCGTGAGCGAAAATTAACTTACAAGCCTGCCATCTCGAAGAGCTTTGTCCAAAACAATCTTGAAAAAGGTTGGAACTTTCGCCGGAAGTGGAGAATCCCCGTCGTCTCTCCGGCTCGAAGATGCCATCTTTTGCTTTCGTAATTGATTTGAGACCCTCTCTCTCTCTCTCTCTCTCTACCACTCTTGTCGAACACGGAAAGCACTCATTTGCTCTGCTACAAAGCCTGGAGAAATACTTGCCTTTCAGATTTTCGGTTTCCCCGCCTTCCTTCTGCAAAAGTGGGCATTTAGATGGGTTTTCTTGGCCCAAATTCAGTCTGGCCCATTCTGTTCTAGGCTTAACAACTTTTTAATAACATACTTTTCTGAGGAAACAGTGGCATTCAATCACATATTTGTGGAAGAGGATCCAGTCCGGATCTCTCTCATCAAAGGTCTAGGATCAAGTGATTCGGACCGTTGAAATTTGATCTAACGGCTACAAACAGGGGACCCCTCTAAAAGTTATAATAATTGTAACTGTTGGATCAAATTTCAACGGCTCGAAACACTTGTTCCTGAGTCTTTGATGGAAGAGATCCTGAACTAGTTCCTCTTTTATTTGTAGGTCCTATAAGTTTGTCACGTCAACAAACGAGTAATATTAAGGAGACAAAATTTGCTTTTGGTTTTCTTCGATATTATAGAACTCAACTCCATGAGTGCACCCCTATTGGTACAACCATGTGAACACAATGGATTACAAATAGCACTCAGCTTTCACATATTTCTCTCTAAACTTGTCCGACCCTTTTTAAGGAGTACTTATCTTCCTTATATAAACCCTCCATGACCCAAGTCCTTGGGCTCGACTCTTTCAACCTTTACATCTAATATGCAGAACACATATACTTGACTTGTTAGCTGCCCCTCCATTCTTTAGCCGACACGTGGGAGCAAAGTGACATCCGTCCAAGTCTAGTTGCATGCTCACACACTTCTGTTCTCTTCGATAGTCGCCATGTGGCCTGGAGTTGATGTTTAAGTAGGTTTTTCCCTGTGTCCCTAGGATTTTGTGCTATAAAGTTGTTAGTGTCCCAACTTGTTCCTGACTATTGAAAAATACTTTACGAGGAAGCTTTCGACCTTCATGACAGGCAATCCAAATTGCCGAGCAATCGCTTAGAGCGCTTGGGGTCATCCTTCTCAATCTTGTCAGACATTGGCCTTTCTTCCTTTGGACGAGTGTTCCTTTGGGCTCGTGGTGATAGGAAAGGAAGTCACCTTAACATTTTAAACTTTTACAATATATTGTTGCATTAGGCGGCTAAATTTTATAATAATTTAACCATTCAAACGCCCGTCTCATCGTCAGTCAAGATATCCTGATAGCTACTTATCTAAACTACATATAACAAATCTCTCTTTGTCAACAAAAATAGGCTGAAAAGATCAAATTAACTTTGTAACAAAACTAAAGAAAGATAACCAAAATAAAATTTTGGGCAATATATTTATACTAAACACAAGATAATTTAAATTTTCAAAGCTTCACAGTGAGGTAATGGTATTAGTTGCTTCCATTTCTTTTCTACGTTTTTCTTCCAATAATTATCGAGAAACAGTTTATAAAGATATAACTATCTTTTCCGCATCAAATAATTGTCTGAAGGACTTTCCAAAAATACTTTAGCGATAATTTTACACTCTCTCGTTGTAATATTATTTTCAAAATTTTAAGGGGCTGTGTTCCCTAAAATCCACTCAGTAATACGGTCTAGTGGTATTTTTCTTCACTTGTAAGTGAGAGGTCTTAGGTTCGAATCTTGTAGATGGCAAATTCGATACCAAATTAGGTTGCCCATTGTGTGACTTAGCCAAACTCCCCCCTTTTCTTGGTGTAAAATATATCGTTGTACTAAAAAAAAAAAAAGGGGGGGGGTGTGTGTTCCCACGATTTTGGATCCTCGTCGGATTTTCTTTGAAGGATCCTGAAAATCCGTGAATTATGTCTGTTCATCGTACATCGTGCGGTTAGAAATCATTTTAATTTTTTTTATTTAAAATTCAACACAAATAGTACTTGATAAAAAATGAACGCATAATATATAATGAACTATACGATTTATGAATTTCCAAGATCTTCAAAAAAAAAAGAAGGATCTGATGGATGTTCCCACCTCTGCCGTTAGGGATGTATTAGGAAAACAGAAAAAAAAATGATATTTTGGTGTGCGAATGAACCGCCAATTCCAAAATAGGATAAATTCCATAAAATTTGATATACGTAATTATGGAAAATATGTGGACCGTGGACGTGATTTGATGCGACAAAAGCAAAAGTGACCTGCTGCTTACCCTTAACGTCAAGACAGGATATCGCGCCCATGTTCCCAATTTACCAAATTGGGGAAGCAAAGTTACTAATTATTATTAATAGAAAATAAATAAAGAAATTTGAGTTACTCTTAATTTTGGAATCAAAGTGAAAGAATAAGGAACAAAAAATAGTGAAAATTAATAGAACACAAGGGGCGTTTAATTGATCGAACTAAGAATAGTTAAAAAAAAAACTGAAAACTTTTATTTGTAAATAAAATGTTTTAGGTTCAAATTTGAGAATGACGAGGTAACAATCAATTTATCTTTCATCATCTTAGTACTAATAATACAAAAAAAAAAAAAAAAACACTAATCTTAGCCTGCATCAAACATAGAGTAAAAAAAACTTAATAAGCTGAGATTATTTCTTTCTCGTGTCATGTTGGCTTATGTTAGACTATTTAAAATGCAGCTTATTAAAACACGGCATCATTTCTGCCGTGAAGGCTAAGCGGCTATTAAGGAAAGGTTGTCAGGGTTATTTGGCTCATGTGGTATTGAACAAGGATACTCCTATCCGTGTAGAGGATGTACGGGTAGTCAGACATTTCACTGATGTTTTCCCGGACGATTTACTTGGATTACCACCAGATAAAGAAGTAAAGTTCACTATTGATTTACTTCCAGGTACAGATCCTATTTCCTTAACTCCTTATCGAATGGCTCCTGCTGAGTTGAGGGAATTGAAAACCCAGTTGCAGGAATTGGTTGATAAGGGTTTCATTCAGCCTAGTGCTCATTATCCTGCACCCCAGTGTTAGTGCTCCTGCACCACACGCTCACCTTGGATCTAAGACAGGTGCCAGCCTGTCGTACAGACCACATTAAGTGGTTCCGACTCGTAGGTGACTTGCGATTTATTGCACAACCTTCATGTGATTGTAGCTCTTGAGCGTACTGATTTACACCCAGCCTGTCGTATAGACCACATTAGGTGGTTCCGACTCGTGTGCAAGAATTGGTAGATGAGCTATAGGCTCAGCCGTACAAGTCACGTTAGGTGATTCCAGCTGACATATCATTTTACATTGATTTATTTCACCTGACTTACTTATTTCATTGTTGAGATACTTGACATGGCATATACTTGGTTTTCACTACTCTCAAGCATGACTTCTATATACGTATGTATTGTTTTCTGGGAAATTATACGGGTTTTACGGTGAGGGGTTATTATTTTCGGAAAGTGAAATGGTTTTAAAAAGCTTTGTTTTTACCTACTCACGTTTTTTTGTTTTGCGCCCCTCTAGGTTCTAGTTAGAAGTTCGTGTTGGTGGCTTACGAGGACTCTACGGCAGTTTTGACAGACTTTAAATAATGTAGGGATTTCTTTCGTGCCTTGTATAATTCTTACCTAGCTGGTTGGACTGCATCTAGGTTACCTATGCTCTTAATATGTGTATCTACTGTGACAGCCCGTCCCGGATTATTCGTACTCGTAGGGGTAAAATGATAGTTTTACCCTAGTGTTTTTGTTTCGTTGTGTGGTTGTTTTGGGGTTTTGGTTGGCTGCTTTTGGACCATACACACCCCCACACTCATTCTCATCATCTGCCCTATCCCGTGTCTCTCTCTCCCTTTTCTTCATCACCTACGTACGGACAAGAACCAAAGTACTAGAAAACGTTACAGATCGAGGAAGAAAACCATACCTTTATGTTCGTGAGGTTCATTCAAGTTCAACCATACCCATTTTAGGTAAGGAAACCTTTATTTTCACGTCGAACCCGAGATGTTCAATTCGGGGTACTGTTCATGCACACGTAAAATCTTGTGTTTTTGGGAATTTTAGGGTCATAGCAAGTTTAGTGAGGTCCTTAGGAAGCTCGGGGTGGTTCGTTTGAAGGTTTTGGATGTCGGGATCGTGAGTTGCAAGTTTGGGCGGATTTGGTGAAGTTTTTCCGACGAGATTCTATTGGTTTTAGTGCTTTAAAGTGGTAAGGTTTTGTTCCTCTAGTTGTAAGCTTCATTTTGGTACCAATTTCATGAAATTTGGGTGAAAAACGAGTGAGAAACGAAGGTTTGAAGTTTTTCCAGTTTTCTGGCGATGGCGACAGCGCCAGAGGTTGGCCGAAAAAGACGACGGAATATTTCGTCAATTTGGATGGAATATTCCTAATGGCGTTAGGTTAACTTTAACGGAATCTGTTAGTTTTAAAGGAATATTCCTGACGGCGTTAACTAACGCCGTCAGTGTACCAAGCACATGCCTGCATGTGGGCGGCGGGTGTGGCCGTGCCTTGGCCGGCGCTTGTGACGTCAGAAAATTATTTTAAAAATATGGGGATGTTCGTGAGGTTGAGTAGATCACGTTGGTGTATTCATACACCCCATTTGAGCATTGTATGAGAAGTTATTACCTAGTTTTGGTTATGTACGTTAAATTAACGTTTTTATAATTGTTTCGCATATAGGTGAGACCTATTCCGAGGACGAGCACAGTCACTCAAGGCAAGGGGATTACGACCCTTCTACATACCAGTGAGTGGGCTTTTGGTTTTCCGTATATACCTATATACTTGTGATTTTCCTAGAAAATGAAATGAAACGTTTATATGTTTTAAATGTCATGCATTGCGTTTGCCTATTTAATTATGCATTAGTAGTTGCATATATATATGTTTGGTGCTGTAGACGTACATGTAAGTGCCAGGTAAGTTATGGTTTATGTTGTGATTAGTAGTGATGTTAGATACAGTAGAAAGCTCATAACCTGCACCCTCGGTGTTAGTGCTCCCGCCCAGAGTAGGGCACAGTCCTTCATGTGATGTTCACCTCCCACACCATATGCTCATCTTGGATCCAAGTTAGGTGTACAGTCCTATCGTACAGACCACTATAAGTGGTTCCGACTCGTAGGTGACTCGTAATTATTCGCCCAGTCTTCACGTGATCGTAGCACT